TGTTCCATACTTAAAAATATCAGGTGGTTGGAGTGTCGAACACTTTATTTTTCTCACTGGGGTAGACTGTTCTACAAAAAGGGTTCAGTTCGACATTCCAACCACCTGAAGAAGGCCAGAGCGTACAACAGGCTTGGAAAATCTGATACTCACGGGACAGATAGAGAGCAAGAGAGACAGAGGAAGACAATGCATGACATACTTGATGCGCTTGAATAAATGGATGTGGTAACAGGTCTTGGGAGAAATAACAGAAGGACACGGTTTATTAAGTGCTACAAGGGAGTTGTGGAAAGACATGATCGCCTAGGTCCTGAAGAATAAGAGACTGGATTTGCGATACGGGATAACGAAAGATGTTTTCCAAAAGCTAAGCAAAGTATTAAGAAACAGAAAAATATTGTTAGTGTAGAATAAACAACACTTACCGGCGTAAGAGTCCCAGCTAGCGTCCAGCTGGCAGACAAAAATAAAGTAACTTAATACAAACCCTGCAAACTAACTGAGAAATCATGCTAGTATTTATATAGAAATACTTCCACTCAGGTACCAGCAGCCAATCACAGCCCAAGCAATGGACTATCCCACTTTAGCATAATGAGATGCTCCATTGCACCATAAATAGCTCTCTTTCTCAATGTTGAATTAGTATTCACTCAGCTTGCTCCACAACTGAGTGTTTATCTTGACCACGGGATTGTTCGACAGTTAGGAACAAAGAAAAGGGTACCGAACCTCCTAGACAAGGTAATAAAGGAAAGTGAGAAGAAAGGATTAATCATCAATTGTCAGTTGACAGAATGCACTGTTGTCAGTAGAGGGAACAGCCCAACATGGGAATTAAAAATTGGAGATGGCAAAATCAAGTGAATACATCAATTTAAATACCTCGGAAGTATTTTAACAGAGAACCGGAGAGAGAGATACCGAAATCCGAAGACGAATGGGGATAGCGAAAGATGCCTTCCAAAAGCTAAGCAAAGTATTAAGAAACAGAAAAATATTGTTAGGAACAAAGAAAAAAATACTGAACTATTATGTAGTATCGGTCCTCCTACCGACCTTATTATTTTGGATATGTGTTAACGGACCCCCCTTGCGAGGCACTCCGATTTTTTCTTTTATGTGCCGTGGTGCTTCAGGGCGTAGGCGATCATGGACCTCCACTACCTCCTCTCCCTTGTAGGTCATAATAAGTTTTGTCTTTCTCTCAGACCCTGTTCCGCCATCCACTTGTTCAGGCCCATTAAGTATGTCATGCATTGCTTTCCCTTGTCTCTCATTCCGTCTATATGTCCCGTGAGTATCAGATTTTCCGAGCTCTCTTTCCTCATTACATGTCCCCGCTGCTTCTTCCTGATGTTAAATAAAAGTTTCCTTTTTGTTTCCATTCTCTCTAAAACCTCGTAGTTGCTCACATGTTTGGCATATGGTATCCTCAGCGTCCTTCTGTAGAACCACATTTCTGTTGCTTTGAGTCTCTTCTTCATCTTTTAGGAGATTGTCCAACATTTGCTGCCATACAGGAGAACAGATATCACGTAGCAGTTCAGTACTCTTTTCTTTGTTTCCAACAAAATTTTTCTGTCTCTTGATACTCTGCTTAGCTTTTGAAATGCATCTTTGGCCATCCCAATACGTCTTCGGATCTCAGGCTCGCACTTTCCGTTCCTCTGATAGAACACTTCCCAGATATCTAAATTTCTATACCTGTTTGATTTTAGTGTCCCTGACCTGTAAATTGCATTTTAGGCTCATCTTTTTGCTGATGACCATACCCTTGTTAAGTGATTGTCTTGTTCAACTTCGTATTGGGATACGTTTTGTAATCGTCGTCTTTGTCGATCTGCATCTAATCTTTTTCTTTTGAGAGATGCTTCCATTTCGAGCCACTGTTGTATTAATCACAGAAACATTTTCAGCATGAAAAGAGACAGAGCAAAAAGCGATTTATATAATGTCAAAAGTAATGAAACATAGATACTATTGAATAATAAATAGCATTAGTATGAATCCACCTGTTCTTCACTAGCTATAGATTAATATGGATCACAATACAATTATTATCTAAAAAATTAGAATATATTCTCTGATTTTATTTAATCTGCAAAGGGTTGATAAGCCTTAGAAAACGAATCAATCAATTTACTTGCAACTAGAACACAGAGGAAATATGGTTGATTCGAGTCCTGGCTGTAAAGGTCTGGAATTGTAGAAGTCAAATATGGAATTTATCTGAACATTTCCCATAGAAATAGCAACGGATTAATGATAGGTTTGCGACATTGCGACTTTGGGGAAAGAGGTGGTAGAGTGGAAAATAAGCCATCCCCAATAAGACCGGTTAAACCTTTTTGAGCACTATCAAAGCTGGAAAGTGCGAATTGTAGGGGTGCAGAATTAATTTCAACTCTGAATTAATTTCAACTCGGAACTAATTTCAACTCGGAACTAATTTCACCTGAGTACACAGATTTAAATTTCAACAAACCTGTGAAGTTTTCAAACGAAATTAAAAATTAATTTATTGATTTTCTTAAATTTTGATCAATAACGGCTTCTTTTTCGCGAGAGTTTTTTTTTACAAAAAAAAAAAAAAAAAGAAAACCCAAAACAGTTTTAAATGAATAAAAGAAAATAAAAAAGTACCATTTTATTCATTTGCAACAAAAAACAATGAAAGCTGCAGAACAGCTGAATTCTGAATTATCCTATCTACTAAGGATTTTTAAGGCTAAATTCAAAAATTAACACCAACTCACTGCATTTTGTTTAGGAATTCACAGAAATCTATAACTTTGATTATAAATCGAGTTGAAATTAGTTCCGAATTGAAATTAATTCCGAGTTGAAATTAATTCCGAGATGAAATTAATTCCGAGTTGAAATTAGTTCTGTCACTCGAATTGAGTCGCCCCGGCCTAAACATGGGAGCAATATTCCATTTTGATTGTAATCTGACTTTTGTAAAGATAAAGAATAGCAGAAAGAGTCAAATAATTCCTAGTACGGCAAAATGAGCCGACCATTTTTTTCAGCATTTGTATCAATGGATCGTGTGAACTTGATTCCAAGTAGACAGTCAAAATATTAACCGTCTTAAAAATAGAAAAATAATTCTTTTCTTAACGAATAAAATATGCATAAATAGTGCATAATCCTTGATCGCAAGATTCGTTCAGTTTGAAATTATCGTCGATAAATACTTTTGGTTAAAACGTTAAGAGAAATTCGACAATTACGAGTGTTGTAACCGGGAACTTATTAAACAGAAGCACCGGTTCAGCGATTGTTCAGAGACGGAAGTAACGTGTCTGCCATATTGTTTATGTGTAAATAAAAAAGCAGGAGTATCGCTTCTGCAAACAGAAGTCATCAGACTAAACTGCGCTGTCGTTGTTATTACAGACCCCCTTACCAAGTTGTGGCAATGAGTATTATTAATTTTATATATATTATAATGGAATGTGTGATACGAAAGACACGCATATATGACAGTCTGTTTCATGCTAAACGCAATATTCATGGCCTGACGATTGCATTTAGCATGAAACAGCTGTCGCCTCTGGATGTTGACTTGAATGTCCACTTATATATATATATATATATATATATATATAACGTTTTATTATTTTTCCTGACGTTAAGGAAGGTGCCTAACAGCTTTCCTACACAAGTACTTTCGATCTCCTTCAAGATCATTCACAGGGATGAAAAACAAAGGCAAACTGATTAGAGTTGGAAATCGGCTCTCCTATTCCTCAATCCAAGACACTATCCATTAATCCACCGTCCTTCACACACACACACCCACATATATATATATATATATATATATATATATATATATATATATATATATATATATATATAGAGAGAGAGAGAGAGAGAGAGAGCGTGATCGTACAGCAGCCGCAGTAGAAGTTGTGTTTCCTGACCAATATAGCCTGACGGAGCCAAAACTTTTTCAGAATTCAGTTACCTTCTCCTAGACTGGTTGCCACCCAAGGCTACAGAACCCAGTCTGTCTCACCATAGAATGCCGTATATATATATATATATATATATATATATATATATATATATATATATATATATATAAGGCTATTAGCACGTAAGTGAAGTAATGGATCCGAATGTAATTCGAACTCGGCTCCCCGGTTCCTCAATCCGAGCCATATATATATATATATATATATATATATATATATATATATATATATATATATATAATTAAAAAAAAAGTAATAATACGAAGAATTAATGAGTAAAGTTAATGTAATTAATGGCGAAATCACTTCGCTAATAGATTTAATATAGCATTAACTTACTAACCATTCATAACGTGAATGACGTGGATTCTTATGTTTAAAATCGTAAGAAGCATTAGATATTCCGTAGTTAGTATTTTCGAAATCATCATATTTTCATCATCAGGCGTTAATATTTTTTTTTAATTCAGGTAACTTCCAAGATAAAAATAAATGTATTAAAGGCCTAAAGATGTTTTTTTTTAAGAGTGTGTTATTTATTAACCTTTACAAAATTTTGGAACGTGCAGTGAAGTCTTCATATCCGAACTTCTCTGTGTTGCCATTGTGATGTAGAAATATGCTACATTCTAATATTAGATAATTTTTAGTTGAAATTCCTCAACCTATATTATCTCACATAGAAGAAACTTCAACTGGAAGAAAAAGGAAAAGAAATTCTTTGACGTTACGTCAGAAATTAGAGATTATTGAAAAACTGTGCAAAGGTCCCAATTCGTTGAATTTTGAAATTAACAAACAAGAATTGAAGAATCTGAACGAAACAAATAAAACTTGCTCTTGGAGATGATCCACTGAATATTCTTGCTTCAGATGAGTTAAAAGAATGGTTAAATGAAGATGCTAATGAATTACAAAAGAATTCAACGGTAGAATCGCTTCAAAATGATTTTGCTTGTCAAATTCTTGAACGGAAAATAGCCTATTCGTTTTAAAAAAATGCAGAACGTGAAATAGATCAGCGCAAATAATAATAATAATAATAATAATAAGAAGAAGAAGAAGAAGAAGAAGGAGAAGAAGAAGCAGAAGAAAGGCGGTTTCTGAAAATAAAAAGAAGACATCCATATTTATCACCTTTCCTTCTTTTTCTAAAGGACACTTCTCCCTACTTTATGCTCCACTTACGCAGCGTATAATGCAGACATCAGCACATCGGTGCGAGACAAGATCAGGGGCAGACCTCGATCTGTTGTTAAATTTATCAACATCAACATCGAATTAAATATAAAACCAGTACCAGATGGAAAACAAGACGACATACAGTGACATGTTTCGACCTGATCTTTGCGCCATCTTCTGTAAGACCAACTAAGAAGCTCTTCTTGCATTTCGGCTCTTTTTTCGAATTCATCTTTTGACACTGGCTGTCTGCTTTTTTTTTTTTTTTTTTAATATTTCCTAATATTTTTGCCATCCATTTTTCTTGTTCATCTTTTACAAAGTATTCCATTTTATCGACTTCATATTTCTTTTTCAGTTTCAGTTTCACTCTGAAGCAATTCTTTCCTTTCAAACAGATTTCGTTCTTTCTTTCTTTTTTTTCTTTCTTTCTTTGATATTCTATATTCATTTTTCCTTTCTTTTAATTTTATTTCTCTTAAATTTACTTTTCTTTCTTTCTTTCTTTCTTTCTTTGATATTCCATATTCATTCTTGCTGCCTTCTTTTTTATTTCATTTCTCTGAAGTTTACTTTTCTTTCTTTCTTTCTTTCTTTCTTTCTTTGATATTCCATATTCATTCTTGCTGCCTTCTTTTTTATTTTATTTCTCTGAAGTTTACTTTTCTTTCTTTCTTTCTTTTTTATTCTTTGATATTCTATATTCATTTTTGTTCCTTGCTTTTTTTTATTTTATTTATTTCTCTTAAATTTACATTTCTTTCTTTCTTTCTTTGTTTGATATCCCATATTCATTCTTGTTCCCTTCTTTTTTATTTTATTTATATCTCTTAAATTTACCATTCTTTTTTGCTTTGATAAACCATATTCATGTTTTCCTGCCTTTCTTTTTATTTTATTTATTTCTCCTAAGTTTACATTTCTTTCTTTCTTTCTTTCTTTCTTTGATATTCCATATTCATTCGTTTTTTCTTTTTTCTTTTATTTATTTCTCTAAAGTTTACCTTTCTTCCTTCCTCGTTTCCTTCTCTCTCGTTTTTTGCATATTTCGTATTCATTACTGTTTCCTAATTTTTCTTTCTTTCTTTAAAACTTTTTCTCATAATTCTTTTTCTTTCGTCTCTTTTTTCATCGTTCTGTTTTTCATCTTTAAAATCTTACTTTCATATTTCTTTTCCATTTTTCATCGTTTCTTTTTTATTTCATTTATTCCATTAAATTTACAATTCTTTCTTTCTTTCTTTCTTTCTTTCTTTCTTTCTTTCTTTCTTTTTTTCTGCCCACCCACCAATGTCATTGGCGTCGGCGGCTTCCTTTTCCTCCTCTTCTTGCACCCTTAATCATTTGATCTCTTTTACCAATCCACCCTTCCCTTCCATTTCTTTCACCCCCCCCCATTTTCTTCTTTCTCTCTTTCCTTTTTAGCTAATGTTCTTTCATGCGTTCAGCATCGTTTGGGGCTAGATCCTTTAGTCCTCGACTGTTCCCCTGTCCTCTTTTCTATCTCATCTTTCCATTTCAACAGCCTCGTTTTCGTTCTTCTTTTCACAAACACTTAAAAACTGCCGATAAAACGACCTCCACTTTCTTGCCTCACACTAACGGAAACAATCCTAACACCCTCCTATCCCACAAATCCTTTCACAGATTCTTCACACACCACAAAAAATGTTCCTTCTCGTTCGCTTCACACATTAAACATCGACAATAACGTGTCTTTAGCAGACAATTTAGCAATATTCTCTATCTGGGATCGTTACCGCCCCTCCCCTTCATCTCTTTTTTCTCCACATCGTCATTTAAGCAAACTGATCATGGCGACTTTCCTACTCTACCAGCACACACGATCACCCTTCTCTATGGCTGACAGCCTTAATTTCTGCCAAGAATAAGCTATCGAAGACAACACTGCCCTCCCCTAAATTCTAGATTCTTACCTTCGCCCTTCCAGTCATTCAATTGGATTATTGTTGTTGATGACTTCTCTGTGCGCCATGTTGGACAGACCTCTTCACTGCAGTGACCAATATACACAACCCCGAGGATAGTGGTTCTCCACCACCAACACCTTGTTCCGTTTTAGTATTTCTTTTCTTTTTTCTCATCTGTATCTATTTTTTCTTTCTCTCGTTTTCTTTCTTCCACTCACATTTCCTTCCAGCGTTAATCCATATTCCTTCCTTCCTGCCCGCCCTCGCTTTGGTTCTTCTTTTTAAACTCCTGACAGCCTCGTTTTCATTCACCACTTCACCCAACCTTCTTTTTCCCACTCTGTTGCCTTCTTTTCAAACCAACTTTAATGAAAATGAGAGAAAAAAAAAAGCAACCTCCCGCCCTCTTTTCACTCCACACAAATCTTTCATCTCCTCTCGGCAATTGATATAATCATTGTTTTCAGGAGTGACTATTATTTAATACACATTGATCCTCATTCAGTTTCTCTTTCCCGATAGCCTCAACCTACCACCAAATGCAGCTGCCTCTCCTGAAGACACCCATTTCTTTCTTTCTTTCTTTCTTTCCAAATATTTCTTATTGAACTTCTTTTTTTCTTTTCAAATATGCATTCTCTCTTTCACTTTCTGTTCAGATATTTCTTTATTGGCCTTTCTTTCTTTTCAAATATTTATCCTCGCTTACCCTTTCTGTTCAAATATTTCTTATTGTCATTCTTTCTTTCTTTCTTTTCAAATATGCATTCTTTCTTTCCCTTTCTGTTCAAATATTTCTTTATTGGCCTTTCTTTCTTTTTTTCTTTCGTTTTTTTTTTTCTTTTTTCTTTTCTGTTCAAATAATTCTTATTGGTTTTCTTCCTTTCTTTCTTTCTTTTCAAATATGCATTCTTTTTTTCCCTTTCTGTTCAAATATTTCTTTATTGGCCTTTCTTTCTCTCTTTCTTTCTTTCTTTTCAAGTATTTATTCGATTTCTTCCTTCCTGTTCAAATAATTCTTATTGGTTGTCTTTCTTTCTTTCTTTTCAAATATGCATTCTTTCTTTCCCTTTCTGTTCAAATATTTCTTATTGGTTTTCGTTCTTTCTTTCTTTCTTTCTTTTCAAATATGCATTCTTTCTTTCCCTTTCTGTTCAAATATTTCTTTATTGGCCTTTCTTTCTTTCTTTCTTTCGTTTCAAGTATTTATTCGATTTCTTCTTTTCTGTTCAAATAATTCTTATTGGTTTTCGTTCTTTCTTTCTTTTTAAATTATTCTTATCTGTTTGCTTTCCTTTCAAATATTTCTTGTCTTTTTCTATTCACTTTTCTGTTCAAATCTTTCTTTCTTCTCAAATTATTCTCATCTCTTAGCATTTCTTTCAAAATATTTCCTTCTTTCTTTTTCAAATATTTCTGTTTTGTACATTTCATTTCTTTCTTTCTTTCTTTAACCCATTTTCATTTTTTCCTTTTCATTTTCGTCTTCTTTCGATCACCTTTTTTCCTTTCACATTCTCTTTTTCTTTCTTTTTTTCTCTCATTCCTAATTTTCTAGATTATTGCAAATTATTCCTTTTCGCTTTTACATAAAGTCTTTTCCTTAAAGAACTTTTCTTTTACGCGCAGAGAAAGATAGATAGATAGATAGATAGAGAGAGAGAGAGAGAGAGAGAGAGAGAGAGAGAGAGAGAGAGAGAAGAAAGAAAAACATTTTGTTTCATTCAGCTTGATTGTTTCAATTATGTATATCTTTATCTGTTTTTATTTGTATCTGTTTCTCGTTTCCTTCTCTACAATGCCCAATTCTCAGAGAACTTTGCAAATTCAATGTCTGTAAATAAGACATGCAACCAGACGTACTTAGTTCACCGAAGATTTCGTAAACTTCCTTCGTCATGTGTAGAATCCGTATGGAAGCTATCTTCTGCAATTTTACCATCACAAGAGTGATTATCATTCCAAGATTCGTTCGGACTACTGAACTCATTCGTTTTGCCGTCTCCGTTCTTACCAACCCCATTTCGGCTTATTCATTATACAGCCTTCTTCAAGCTTATACACCGTATGAAAGAAATCCATGGCAAAATCTCTGTGGATAAAAACGCAGCAGACAAAATCCCAACCTCTTATCTCAAAAGTGGACAAAATCCAAGTCTCACATAATATAAAAAGAAACAAATTTAACATTGAAAATTCAAAGAGGTTTTAATTTGAATTTTAATGTTAAATCGAGATATTAATAATAATAATATAAAATATATAGAATATATAAGAATTAGCAATATTAAATATATCTTGGCTTCAGTTAATCCCTCCACCGCCTGGGGTAAGGTTGCCTCTTCGTGTCTTTTCTACAAATACTTTCATGATATTTGTTCAGATGAGCTCTTCGCTTTGCTACCTAGAGTTTTTGAATTTAAGCGCAGTGTCGGGATCTCAATTTACAGGCTCCTGCTGAATATTTAGAAGTTCTTGATAAAATCCAAAGAAGAATCAGCAATATTATTGGTCCTGTTCTGGCGTCTCAGCTTCAGTTACTTCCTCACCCAGTGGTGTAAGGTTGTCCCTCTGTGTCTTTTCTATAAATATTTTCATGGTGATTGTTCAGATGAGCTCTTTCCTTTCGTACCTAGAGTTTTTGAATTTAAGCGCAGTATTAGACTAACGTCGAGATCTCATCAATTTACAGGCTCCTGCTGAATATTTAGAGATTCTTGATAAAATCCAAAGAAGAATCAGCAATATTATTGGTCCTGTTCTGGCATCTCGGCTTCAGTTACTTTCCCATCCAGCGCCGTAAGTCTTTTCTATAAATACTTTCATGGTAATTGTTTGGATTAGTATTCTTCTTTCGTTGTCGTTCGTTGGCAATGTTTCTGTTTCTAACTCTATCAAACTCTTGTGTCTCAGTGGCTTTATTGCCTTGCACGGGGAAAATCTATTAGAAAAAGGAGATGTATACATAAATGGAACATATATTTATAAGCATGAAATAAGTACATCTACAGGGTTATTCAAATATAATGAACCAATTTCATGATGCATTGCTTCAGTTCTCAAGCATCGTCATGGAATGAGTCTGTGATCATTTGAAAGAGGAGTTTTCTAAGTTTTGAATGGTTGCCACAGGGGCACTGTAGTCGCGTCGTATCTCCGGCAACGTTCAGTTGTTTGTTTACTCTCGGAATGGTGAGTCCTCAGCAAAAGGCGTTCTGCGTTCTCGTGTTCGCGAAAACAAATACGGTTGTCACGGTGCAGCGTGTTTCGCGAAGGCAATTCGATATTAATCCGCCCTTTCCTAAGAACATCAAGAGGGTGGGTGTCTATGTAAAGGAAAAAGTCCAGGACTGCCATGAATTTCGAAGGAACAATTGTGCCCATTTTATCTTTGAATTTCCTAAGAAATTTAATATCAAATTTACTCAGTAAATATATACGTGTAAATCGTCTCAACAATATCTTTAGATTTTTCTAATAATTTCATATAAACTTTGCTCAGCGAATACATGTCCACATTTCAAATTGCATCCGCAATATCGTGAGGCTTTTCTAATAAATTTAATATGAAAATTAACACACTGATAATATCGACGGTGGTTTAAACATTTTCAAAAGAGTGGGTGTCTGTGTAAAAGATAAAATCCAGGACGATCAAGAGTTTCGGAGGAACAAGTGGTGAGAATCCGTGCTACGTTTGAAAGGAGTTCACGAAAGTTCACAAATCGAGCTAGCAAGTGATTTTGCGATCTCTCAATCCACTATTTGGTGTGTGCTAAGAAGACGTCTACATTTGAAATCTTACAGATTACGTCTCGTTCAGGCACTTACTTTGTGTTTGGCCTGCGAGATCCACAGGTCTCATCGTAAGGGATTTTTTTTCTTTTGGGGATAAGTAAAAGATCGTGTTTATTTTCCACCTCTACCCACCAACCCACTATGACCTTAAACATCGAATAACAACAACAATCAACTCAGTGGATCGTGATATACTGACACGCGTCTTAGAGGAATTCTCTTATCGCATTGATGTTGCCCGTGATGCAGGTGGTGGCCACATTAAACACTTGCAAGACAGGAAATAAAAGTTGATTGTGAGTAGAGTACTTGTGACTTGGCTTGAGTTTTCTATTGTTTTTCCTTATTAAAATATTACGAAATAAAATCGGTTCATTCTTTTTTAATAACCCTGTATTGGATATTGTGTTCATTGTCTCGATTTCACATTGATAGGATATTGTACATATAAGTCTTTCTAAAGAAGTAATGGATTTTTTTGAATTTATTGATCCAACATATTTTATCACTTAAACGATATTTTTACTGGATACCCATAGTTGAGTAGATGCTCCGTTTATTTATTAAACGGTATATTTATTTATTTTCGTCTACCGGCCTGAATATTCTCA